AGTCATTCAGCATTTTCAGGAGGTCCTTTTTATGCTCATTCCCAACTGAATTGCAATGGAACTGAACACAAGGAGTATCTTGTAAGGGACAACCAACACCAGGCAAAATTAATGATTACCCTTTCAGCACTAAGCATGAGACAGGATGGAGACATTGGAGCAAAGGGATTAACAGTGAAATGATCTGGATACACACATGGTGTCACCTGTTTTATATCCTTTGTTAATTATCATGTATCTGAAGAGATTCAATCTGAGCTAGGACTGCCTTTAGGTCCACCCTTAGTGATCCCACAAACCCAAAGAAGCTACCAAAGCAATGAGTTTCTTTCACTTTACACTGGGCACAAACTACCACATGCAATTCTAAGGGCATAAGTAAATTTAGCTTACAGTAAACGTTTCTGGCTCTTAGTTTTAAACCACAGAATTATTTTTCCTAATTTTATCATGCTATCTTCTAATGGTTGGAGGACAAGACAGTAAAGAATGACATCCTTATTATTTTGTCATTATTTAACTGCCTAAATATTGCCTGTAGCAAATTTACTATTAAAAAACACCATGGCAGATGGAGAAAAGCACATTTCACAGTAACATGCCCACCATTTAAAATGTACATCACAACTGACTAGTTTTTTAGATTCACAGAGATATATACACTCACCCACAGCCAATGCCATTGTACAATCAAACCTGGGAACCAATCATTTGCCTAACAAACAAAAGCTACCTTTCCCTCATTTCAAAAGAAATAAGAATGTGTTTTACATAAAAACAATTGTGACATCTTTTTTTATTTATCATCACACAGTAAATTTGGATAAGCCGAAATATGACCCATAATTTTACTTTGTAAAATTCTATCTACCTTACATGAACTAACTAGTCTTACACTTTCAGCTAACAGCTCAATCTGTTAGCTCAATCCTAAAGGGAGAGAGGGACAGATACCAGAGACACATACCAGAATATTCCAGAGAGAATTTAATAGAATAAAACTTTTCGAACACTCCGAAAATATTTAGACATCTGTAATACTAATAACTTCTGATAAAAGAATAATAAAAGAAATAACTTCTGATTCTGAATAACTAATAAAAGAAATAACTTCTGATTCCAGGCCCAATTGTAACTTCCACATGTCACTGCCATGATTTACCATCTGACCCAGCAGTACAATTGAAGAAGAAACAGCTTAGCAGTTTCTTCAGTAAAGAGAAGAGGTGGACAAAAGGTCAAGCTGTTCAGTCCTACAAAGCTAATTGGTACATTAGTTTATTTGAAACTTTAGTATCTCCCAAAAATCCCATGAACTATGAAAAAAATGTATTAAATCAGGATACAGAATCCTGGCATACAGGCAAGTAAAAGAAATCCTGAGAGAATTACAGCACAAAGAGAAATGTTGTAAATCTTTGCAGCTTCAAGAGAGTTCCTGGCACAAGCTTTTTGCTAACTTCCATAAGACAAAATCATGAGTCACAGTCGGCCCAAATCTTAAACTACTGCTTATAAAGACACTGCCATGACAATTCAGAGAAAAAGTTCGCCTGTAACTGTTTCTAAGTACCATATTTTATGTTGTATTTACAGAATGGCAGGCAGCCAATGAAATTCTCAGTGGAACTCTACATCCTCACATAGCTTGCAAGTCATCTTATTTTCTATCTCTGAACAGCACAATGCATTGTAAAATTAGTTTCTCCCTTGCTTCAGCTGGCAATTTACTATATCAATCTTCTTAAATGTTTAAAATTAACATAAAAGTCCTTATTCAGATTACCTTAAATAAAAGATAAGCACATAGAGCATTGTTTCATAATAATAGAGTTATTCACATATCTATTTTCAATGGCTACATTTAGAACAAAAGCAGCTTGAAGACAGAATATATTCAAAAGTTACACAGAGCCAGGTGGAACATTAGAGATTGTATCTTCTTTCAACACTATTAAAAAAAAAAAGGACAAAATGACATTATCACATGAAACTTAGCAGAAGGGGGCTCAATCAAGAATTTTGTGACACCATTGACACATGACAGCCTTTGATTTATATTTCTTTTAATTCACAATGAAGTTTACCTGCTCCCTTTTGGCCCAGGTCACAATGGACATAGATTTCAGGTGACACGGAATGAAAAACAGTTAAACTGCTGTGTAACCTCCCATGAGAAGGCAAAACAAAACTGCAACTGAAATGTAATGTCCCAATGATTAAGAGAGATTCTGTAGAATAAAGGCAGAAAAAGTACATTGGAGGTCAGAAGCTCATGAGATTGAGAAGCTTGCTGACCTATGGCAGGTCTCAAAAAGGACTCAAAGGTAAAGATCTCTTGGAAAGACTAACCCATTTCTTCAGCTTCAGAGTATACTGAAAAATTATTTACCCAAGACATACACTTGTAAGGTGAAGAAGAAACGCTGTCAGGTCACAGTATCAACAGAGGATATGCTGGAATAAGGTGATCACTAGGAAAGCAGCACCAGATGGTTATGTTCAGACAGGTTTTTAATATAGTGGAAAGTTAGAATGACTGCATCTCTGCATTTTAACAACTCAGACACCTGATTCTTGACAGCCAGAGGGCAGAAAACATTGCCAGAAGCACTAGAGGTGATTTGAAGAATCACAAACTGAACACTTTTATTCCCATCTTAGGATTTCATAAAAATTATATCAGGAAATATACACAGGAATGCAGCTTCCCTGCAGCTAACCAAACAGTACTTGGTTGATTAAAGCACCAGAAAGTGCTGAAATCTCTGTGATTGACTCATTGTATTAATAAGTAATAGTTGTGCCTGAGCTTTAAGAAACAAATTGTTGCTCCAAATATAAATTGTAGTTCCTATTGTAACAACACCCAAGGACAAACTATATTGTGCTGCTGTAGGAGAGGAATTGTTTTCATTTAATTTAATCTTGAGATATATCTATGTATACATATATGCAAGCATATACATATATACCTATTACTTCTTATTGTGTGCATGAAGGAAACAGGATATTACACAGAAAGCCTGTATATCTTTGCAAGTATACCTTCTACCTCCTACCTTTATATTACATTCTGCAATAAAAAAACCACTGCCAAACAATATGTTAGGCAAAGAGGAGTTCTATTGTAAGTTATTTTATGAATTTTTGGACTTAAAAAAATATGTAGTGAATGAAATCGACCTATATTCATCATCTCTTTCCATCACATAATTCCTATCCTAAAGAAAAACATGAACACAAGAGCAGCATAGATTTCTGCATTCTGCATGCAATTCTTTACACTTTACTAATAACCAATTACGGTTCATAATACACTATCATCAAACAACTTGAGAGTACACAGTTTGCCACTGAATCTTGCAATTTTCCATCTCTCTTCTTAAAGAGGATCAGATTTCAATAAATATGTTTCAACAAGAAATGGTGCACCTTAGTGTGTGCCAAGGAGCATTGACATGCTGGAGACTTGTACTTGCAATAAATTTCATATGCAAAAACTTGAGCAGAAATCTACAATAAAGAAGATGACACATACCAGACTGCACTTAATTGAGTAGACTTTGAATTAATTTTAATACCAGTATTTTAACTCAGCTTCACTATCACTACAACATATGGACAGTGCCTTAAAGGTGAAATGCATCAGTCCTTCAGCACTTTTTGCAGGTCAGACGACTTCCTTACAAATGGCCTGATACCAATTAAGTGGCAGAAAGCTTATTTTACACTAAAACCCCCTTTTTTCTTGTCTTGTGTGTAAGAAGTTTGGCCTATTTTGAAGCTATTTTACTTTGAGTCTATTCTACTTTTACATTACTACATGACATATACAACTGTGGATGCTTAGAACTGTATTTCTGGAAAAATAAACATAACCACTGACCAACAGGTAACACAGCAAAGAGAAAATTGATGTGTTTTATAAATAAATTCAAATCCTCTTGAAGACTTTGTCCAGAACCTTGAGTCTGGTAAATACCTGGAAAACTACAATCTCATGATCTGTCAGTGAATAATGTTAACAGAACCGTACTGTGCACCAGTGTCCTACATACAGGTAAATTGCCTCTTTCAGTAAAACTTAAAAAACTTTAAAAAAGAAGAGCAAAATTTTTAAAGCTTAAAGTTTTATACATGACTCTTGGCTAGGGTATTTTTGCCATTAATTAAAAAGCAACATGAATTAATACTATAACATAGTTCAGAAGAACCTGTGAAAAGTAGATGCCATCCTATGCACAGTGATTTTCAACTGGAAACTTAATTTCAAAAGCTGCAGTTCAGAAAAAGGCAAGAATGTTTTATTCTGCTAGATAGCGTTACACTCCACTCGCAAAAGGAGCTGTAAATATTACAGTGAAGCTACATAACTTTGATGAGCTTGTATAATTAGGTCTGTAAATCAACAATGCTTTGACAATTGAGTATTCTTCCTGCCTAATCATACCACAAACTTCCCAGAAGTAATTCTGGAATACTTGCTAAATACCTTTCTCTGTAAACAATGGCTTTATTTTCCCCTTTTCTGTTATTCAGTCAGATTCAGAGATCAGCACTGGAAGTTTGCTCTTGGAAACCAGTATCAAATTTCAAAGTAACAGGTAACAACTTCAGAAGCTGAGAGAAAGAATCATTAGGACAACTGCAGGAACCCCCAAAATTATGCCAAGCATAAGAGAATACTGCAGAACATTTTAAACACAAAGATGGCAACCTGCATGTACAAGCATGAATAGAGGAAAGAGGGAAAACTACACAAACCATTTCTGCATATGAGTTCTGACAGGATAACTGTGCCATCTATCTGCATTTCTGTACAGAGAAGTTACAGGTCTTACCCTAACTAGTGAGCTACTATTCCATGTGCAGATTTATCACTTTTGCCATTTTTGTGTCATTAAGTCATCTATATTTCTGAACAAAAATACTTGTGAATTTCTGATTTTTCTGAGAATACATCATACAGAAGTACTTACTATCCAGAGAAATCATACCTGCTGCCAAGGATTGGCTCCCCAGAGGTTTCCAAAGCAGAATAGTCCATGCCATAGAAATTCAGTCCTAAAAGTATTTTATTCCTCCATTTTGAATCAGGATCCAGTACTTCAACACAAGCTCGTACCCAGGGAAGGGGGGAATTTGGACCAGGTCTGTTAAGTTAGCAAAAATCAAACAGGCTGTCAGAAAAAGTACATGTTCACACTCAGCCTTCTCTTTTTGGCCAGTGTAATTGTAAAAAGAAAATTTTGGCACACAAAAATCAGTGAAGATAAACCTATTAATTCTATCAATGTTAAATGCACATTCTTTCTTCTATAGCTTGAAGTGCTGATACACAAAATATGATTGCCCCACTCTTGACTTTTTTATTCAATTCTAAGTTGAAGGAGTCACAGAATTCCTTCCTAGGTGTAAGAAAAGGTTTCCCTCTAGCACACTGCTACTTGGCCTTGCACAACGCATATGCTATAATCCAAAACTCTGTATGACTTCAGGTTTTTTTTCTCAACATTTTTACAGCAATCTGGCAAAACATACTGGGACAAAAATCGACCATTTACTTGCAGAAGGAACTGTAAAATTAGTGACTGGTAAGAAAGACAAGTTTCAATGATTGTGTAACATTTATGGGAAAAAAAACTACAAAGTATCTAACAAAAACCTAAAGGAAGAAAAAGAATATAGCCTTAATACACAGATTAATTGAATTGTCATGTACATAACATCAGGATATTGTGCTCATTCCATTCCTACCTCACTGGAGAGAAGAGCAGGCTCTCTCTCAAATATTAACATGACAAAAGGCACTCACTAGCATGGTAACAGGAAGAGTATATCCCAGTCTTACAAATATCAACATCTGTTACTCCCTACTGATTATCTGCCTTAAAGCCTTCATGATACCTGTGCCATTAAAACTCAACATGCTAACACAGCAGAACAAAATTGCTGGGAAATGAAGTATCAAGTGTTTAAAGCTAATTTGTTTGACAGTGTATTATTAGTGTACCTATCCTGCAGAACTGTGCTAAATAACTCAAAAAGAGTTATTTAGCATGGAAAAGAGTAAGTTATCCTTTTAAAAAATTGCCTTTTTAGCTTGAGTCTTGCATAATATCCACACCCCAGATACACATTGCTGTTAAAAATGTACTGAGTTAGCTTCTGGAAAAATAATCTATTTCAATTACTAATCCAGAACTAAAGTACCATACACATACAAAGCGCTATCCACTTTACTAGGAAAAAAAATGAACTTGTACTGTAGATTTAACAGACCTCATTAGGAATAAGCTCCTTCAATGATCTTTCTGATGTCAGATTTATTCAGGAATCTTACCGATGTGGTGCCGAATAGTCATACGTCATGAGACTGAAGCTGTCTATTGATGAGGCCAACTGATCAAATTCTTTCTTTGTGAACATTCCTGGCTGGTTGGTCCTTTCAAAACAAAGCAAAACAGAAACAGGAGGAGACAAATTACAACAATGACCAGGCTTATTCTCTCCTTTGGGTTTTGTACCATTTGATCACATAAGAAAAATATTTCATTCTGAGGTGGCAAAAAAGTAAAATATATATTTCAGTGACATTTTTGTAATCAACAGCTAAGGAGAAAAAAAAAAGCAATGCTATGGAGGCGGCTAGTGGGAAGAATCATACTTCCACAGCATACTTACCAAATAAGCATTTCCAGCATGACTACAATAGTGATTATAAGGGCTGTAGACTAATCAAATTGCCTTAGGTAGCAATCAATTGAGCTCTAAAAGCTTTTACAAAACCTTTAATTGTTTGGGCTGTTGAACTGTTTTTGAAACTTAAAAAACTAAGTTTTCTGAGACATATTTAAATAAATGGATGGGTGCAGCTCTTAATAGAATAATATAAACCAGAGATAATTTTTTTATTGACCTCAAAAAGAACAATTTCAGTTTATACCACACTTAAGAAAGAAAACTTGTTTTCTTTAGACAAAAAACAGGTCCATTTCTTACTTAAGACAGAGGAGAAGAAAGAAGAAATCCATTCCATGACCTTTTCTAGAAAAAGTCTAGTTTTTGCCTTCAGCATATCTTGGTATGAAATATGGAAAACCATTCTTCCCCCCTTTTCTTGCTTACTCTTGTTTTACAAAATATATACCTGGATTAATATCTACCTTATCTTCATGGATGAAGGAGTGTACATTTTGTCTGTTTTGGACTCAGAGAAGCTATTGACTTCCTCCAATCATTCAAGATGGAAACAATTAATTCACACAAGTTGCCTGAAAGCGTTGAATTTGTTTCAAAGAGAACTTGGAATTTCAAAATAGCAGCACAAACAGCACAGCAGGCAACATAAGGCAACCTTAATCACATTGCAAAGATGGGACTGGACTAAAATGGAGAGGCTTCTGCCAGAAGAACCCTGCCCTCAACCAGAGGGCTCTGAAGCACGCTAACATGAGACAAACAGGAAGAGAAGTAGGATATCATCCCAGCAGATAGGAGGACATTGCAAAATAAGAAAAAAGGGTAAAAAAATGTAATTTAACAGCTAAAAACTCTGTGGTGCATCTCTGCCATTTAAGAGGCAGACTAGAGAGCAGAGGAGAGAGACTGAAGAATCCAGACTTTCCCAATACTATCAGGAACTGCTACTTGAGCTAGAAAGTAGAAGCCAAGCCTTGTCTAGGCAAGGTATGCTTTTAAAACCACTCACGTTCCATCTTAAATGTAAAAATGAAAAAGATGTTCAGTGACAGATGCAAGTAATAAACAGAAAAATCACATATTTTGACCTTTATCCCTTTTGGATCAGCGTGCAAATTCTACATCCAACAATATGTGATGCATGGATCACCAGAGCATAACAGTGTTCATTTATCAGCTCACAAGGACACTTTGTGTTCCACTGCATAAGAAAAGAGGTGAACAAAATGCAGGTTACAAAATAGGGCAGATTAAATCACATAACATGCCTGTCAGATTTTCAGAACCAGTGATATACTGGTCACAGGAAGGAGCAATCCCATGCTTTTCCTTCAAGGGTTGTAACAAATTTTTTAAAAATCTTCACTTCTGGAACCTACTGGTAGACCTCAGGCTTTTTTTATAGTCATCTGCTTGTGATGTACTGCAATTGCAAACTACAGTTGTTCTACAAGAATTAAAATAATAAATATGTATTTGAAACAATGTTATAGCAACTTGGATGTCTGTAGGCAAAGCAATTTCCCAGTGCAAACTTCAGCAAAACACATTTTCAGTAAATTGATTGTGATTACTCCTGAAGGGAAAAAACATAAAAAGTAATTATAATGTGTATTAGATATTAGGGCAAGTTGGATTGCTTTATAGATTTAGCCAGGTAGTACTTTAATGAAATTTGCATGTATAACTTAAGAAGAAACCCACAGGTTAAAATGGATATTGCCATAATTTTGTCCAAAGCAATTTTATAACTCAACCACTTCTGTTACAAAGGAATGCCATATGGGTGGCAAGGGCATAAATTTCAACTTGGAACAAACCTAGCAGCAATGAATATACTTTGTCAATTAATGTATAGTGTTAAAACAGCAGCACTCTTCAAAAAAACAAGCATGACTCACCAGTTCAATTAATAGTCAACTCTGCTCTAGTCAAGCACTTTGGGAAGCTCCACTGGAACAAAACCAGGACTATTTGAGTCATGTCTTTAAAATTGCTCTGAGACAAGGAAACAGGCATTCAGAATAAAACCCAAATATTTTTAAACAGCTATTATACTTCAAATTGGAGGGTTTTCAATCATTCTGATATATATGTAAACTTAATTCAAAAGCAAGTATGTTCTCCTGACTACTTTGTTGAGAAATCCAGCATGGAAAGTCAGGAGACTTGGCACAGAATACGCGAAGTCCATGAAAGTAGTACTTTCCAAGTCTAAGTCAAAAGCTTGTCATTCTTCTAAACTTCTAATACCATTTCCAAAATAGTCAGTGGCAGAAGCTTCATCATTCTTTATTAGCTCTGTACAATATACATAGAATCACAAAAAATGCAAAGCTGAAAGGAACTCACAAGGAACATCAAGTCCAACCCCTGGCCCTGCACAGGACAGCTCTGACAATCTCCCCATATACCTGAGAGCATTGTCCAAGTATGTCTTGAACTCTGTCAGGCTTGGTACAAGCTTAGTGACCACTTCCCTGGGGAGTTTGTTCCCAACCACCCTCTGGGTGAAGAAACTTCTCCTAAGGTTCCAACCTAAACCTCCAAAAAAACCAAAGAAAAAAAGAGATTGTATTTAAGTTACCCTAATTTGCTAAAACATTCAAGCCGAAATCCCTCTGTCTTGGATAGAATTTGGCATAACTTACCCAGTTTGCTGAATATTTCCAGTCTGCTAAACTGGGACAGACTCCATTTTCACTTAGGATTACTTTTTATACATGGCTTGTTTAATTTTAAAACTTTATAAAGAAGATTAAGAGACACTGCAGAATGAGAGGTGAAAGTAACAACTGAGTTTGCTCTGCAAATCTGCTCTTAAAACTTCCACTGGTCTAGAGTAAGCCAAGGCTCCTCTCAGCCCATTTGCAAAACCAGACCCAAATTCTTCATCCAAGATCCTGAAATCCTCCCACATCTTGGAGAAAGATAATGCTGCAGGAGGGGAGGAGAAGGAATGAAAACAGGGTGGAGAAAGGATGCCCCAGGTAGCAAAGCTGGTACCCCCAGCCCCTCAACCCCCAGCCCCCCAGATCATCCCATGCCAGGATTTGCTCCCTGGGGCAGCACTGTTCCATGGTGCAGCGGGACTGGGGGGGCCACATGAGTGATGGGCCTGGTGACATTGCCCTGACCCTACTGGAGCACAGAGCACTGGGATGAAACCAGATTCAGCTATGGATATCCTCAAAGGGTTGAAATTCCCCAGAACTCCTGCTAGTATCAACTACTGCTATTCAGCATCCATGGAGGTTTTCAGTAATCTGGACTGAACAAAATACATGAATGTGAATTATAATCAACTGAAAAAATTAACTATATAAGTTGAATCTACAACCAAGCCTGCTACTCAGTGCATACTCCAATGAAACAGACACTGGGAAGAAAGCAAAGACAAGCCTGATTTTTCTGGGATTGCTGAAAACCATTGCTTTGCACTATTAACAAGAACCATTTTTAATTTTTTTTTAATCTGAGATACTTGAGGGTTTTTTACCATTAAATAAGCCTTACACTTACTCAGGCAATGCCTCATAGTCACAGGTTTGGTTTGCAATATTATTGAGAAAGCACTGGGGTTTTTAGCTCCTTTCAAAGTAGTTTCAATGTGACAGTACAATATTATGTCTCAACCTATGCAATCAGGCATTATATTGTATTTTTATGTCTTCTTTATCCAATATGCTTTCCATGTTTTGATGAAAGAGCTTCTCTGGCAATGATAAATGCTCTGGTGAAAAGCAGATGCAAAGCTAGAAAGTGTTCAGACTTGAGTCATCACTCAACCTACTTTTCTGATTGACAATTTAGGATCCAAAAATTCATCTTACACTTCATGGTCTACTTTCAGTACAGGGTATGTTGTTTATTTACCTCACACGCATATTTCAGGCAGGGGAAATACCTAAGCAAGACTACACAAATGCAAAGTATGAAGTACATAAACAAATCTCCATAAGAAAAGACATCAAAAGTGTGACAGGTTCTATCACTTACAGAGTGACTTGAAAATGCTCAGACACTAGTAATGAGGATGATATAAAATTCCACCATAAAAGGAAAATCAAATTGTATCCTCTGTCTTATATAATTAATATTTTGAACTAACACTTTGTGGTAAACGTGTTTTCCTTGCTATTGAAAAGGAAAAGCATCTCTCAAAGAAATGAAGCTTTATTTTTTCTTCTTTCTGATTTGAAAAAAACTGTTAATATGGAATTATATTTATCCCATATATTTCAATTTTCTGTTTTCTAGAAAAATCTGTTGGATTCTATTTCTAAAATACCAGCCAAATATAAACACTCGCTTAAATTCCTTGAACCAACAAGATTTTCTAATGGATACAATATCTGTTCTTTATGGCATTTTAAAATATTTATTAAAATGGGTAAGAAATATAGACTTAGCCCGGTAAAAATACATATTTGGAATGAATACAAAAAGTGTCTTCCACTCCTGCTCATCATTTAAAGGATAAGAATTCAGAGAGGTGGCATTTTACAAAATCTCTACAAAAAATTCTAAAAGTAGAAATTATCAGTGCAGGGAAATTATTAACACTAAGGATAGGAAACAGAGCATGGGACTGCTGGGTGTGCAGAAAGGGGTTGGAAGAACAAAAACATACTGCAAAGAGAAAATGAGAATTTTCCTTTCCAGTTCATTGCTGTTTTAACCTTAATTGGACATATTTTATTCTGTTACATATTTTCCTTTTCACAAACAGTAAAGAAACTG